ACCACACTGCTTCAGCCTAACCGGTCAGCCTTTTGTCTGTATGCGGCGGGCAAATGCTTCACTGGAGAATTACTCAGAAATCTATAAAACCCAAGTCCCATCACAAGCTTTCGTACTCACGTCGTATCCGTCAAAAATGCCAGCCTATCTTGTTCCATCCGGATTTGATAAAATCTTCATCTGAACAGCATGTTGCATTTCTGTTCCTGCTCAAACTGTAATCTGGGAGTGCTCTCTGCTGCATCCGGGACTGTGTCGGCGCTATTGTCGCGTCCACGCATAGGCGCACACGCTCGTACGTACGTGAGTGGGTGCGTGTGTGCGCGTATGGTTCTCTTGATGACAAAGGGAAGCAGTGACACGTTGCTACCCGATACTATCACACTTCCCGAGAATGAGTTTATGTATACATATACATATCTATGCTCGTATACTCTCGCGTGTATAAGAAGAGAACGATTATCCGTGTCTGTACGGGACGTCCAAGAAAATGACGGAGGTGGAGGGCTAGGGCCGGTGGGGGAGGTCCATGAGAACAACCTTGTTAGGTTGACGGAAATCCGGCCAGAACGCCTGTCCCGGATGCCCACCTTGTTATGCGGACCAGAAGCAGCAGAAGGGCGTGCTGTATCAGCACCACGTTGTGGTATGCGCCAACTTATCTAACCTACCGATCTAGGAACCAAGTTGACGTGGATGGTTTTAGAGACTGTTACAGGACTATTTGGCCGTCATCCCTCGAATGCTTCCCTGGAGGCTTTGTATACGAGGTCTGGTAGGGTAGGTGGAATACTGAGGTAGCCTTGGAGAATATGCAGAAGGAGGAGGAGGAGGATTTGGCGGAAGAACAGCACAGGGAGAAAAAGTACGAAGAGACGGAAGAGACGAAAAAGGAGAAGGGTGGAGGAGGATGGAGTGAGAACAAATGGATCACTCGAGGCCTTGAGCTACGGGGCCTCGTAGCTCAAGTGATTAGAGCGTTGGCTGTACTAAAGCCTTCACCTTACTGCGTAGGTTCGAATCCCACCGAGGGGCTGAGCTTTTCACATTTGGGTCAATATGAATTATTCAAAATCTGCCAAAACATCTAAGAATTATGTAAGCCTGGTAGTCATCTGGTGGTTTCTAGGTAAATCACTTAGGAAATCCTGCCTGGGCAGTCAACTTACTATATCAGATTTGGTGGCTTCCAGACGTTGCAGTAGGTTGGGCGGGTAACTTGGCCCAAATGTGATTGAACTCGCGTTGTCCGGTGGGGCCTCGTAGCTCAAGTGGTTAGGGCGTTGGCTGTACTAAATCCATCCCCTTACTTCGTGGGTTCGAATCCCACCGAGGCGCCGAGTTTTTCACAATTGGGTCAATATGAAGATTGAGGTCGACTTTGGGGACTGCATCCCCACGACAATTACTACGTATTTCTTCGCATGAGCAATCTGACGAGCTTTTAAAATATCGCACTGAGTTAAAAGTCGTGGCTTAGAAGGTGGACAGCCGACGAGAAAAATCCGTCCCCTCGGGATGAAGGGTCGTGCTCAATGCCTCTATTGCATTCCCATTCATATGGGATTTGCACCGACCGCCTCTTGTTTCTGTGAAAACCTGACGTATTGTGCGTGCAAGGCATGCGTGGCAGGCATAGACGAACCGTCCATCTCTGTCAGATACATCATCTGATCCTGCCTCCGGTCTCCTTGACTCTGTCTTGCCACTGGACCCAGAAATGTAGACGAGGAAAGAGCGTGATAGGCGCTACGAAAGTCACCGTCCCTGCGCCTGTCCTGCTGCAGGCTACGCGGTGGACATAGTTGTTCTCGAGCGTCGAACTGTCATGAATAACTAAACTTCCGGGATAATGTAGCTCATGTTTAGTAAATCGGGTTAATTGTGAGCGGTCTCATTCTTATTTTCAAGGGACAGGACAGAATTCAGACTACTTCACCATTGGTACAGCTGGATAAATAGAAATCGGTCCAGTGTGTTTCTTGGTGATGACAATCTGCCAATCACATATAAACCTTCTTTATGATGTCCTCTCCTTGATATAATTATATCATCCAATGTTTTTACTCTCATCCTACTCAATTCCTTATAAAAAATCGCAGATCGCTATGCTTTCCCTCCTGTTTCTTTTATCGATCTTCATCCTGGGGCGTTTCAGATACATGAGGTCTTCCTCCTGTTCATTACTGCCCTTACACAATTTTTGCGTTTAATAAAGCGAAACACTTGTTTCACAGACCTGTCCTTCACACTGTGACAACTGCTACCGACCCGTCATTTTTGCATCTAGCTGATGTCATCGCCGGACCATATCCTTCAACAGTCAGACGGTCCGCTGATCGCATTCTTCAGGATCAGAAACCTCCAGCATATTTTGATCCAATGATAACAGAGTCCCCTGGTCCCATTCCCAGAAGTCCTTTCCGATGTATCTCCTGATGAACTCACGTGCATAGATCTTCCACAGTTCTTTCAGTGCCCATTCTCCCTCTGTCCTCAACACTTAAACTTGTTCGCATGTTGGGTTTAAATAATAGAAGTATTTGTGTGGACTTTTAACCAGAGTGTGCGAACAGGAACCCCCTGCAACACAGATGGCTTTGAACCAATTTCCTGTTTAATGTAAGCGGTTAGGGTTGAACTAGGGATATGACTTAATTTAGACGGAAACGTAAGCCACGATCGAGTTTAGGGTTAAGTCAGAGGCTGGTGTTAGCCACAGAGGTAGGGTTTAGGGCAGGGTTAGGGTCGAGGTTAGGGCGACAGTCTAGTTTTATACTAGAGCATTGTTGGGGTTAGGACACGGAATATTTTTGCCCTTTCCGGAATTACGGGCAGGTCCACTTTTATCACTTGGGGGAGGGCGTTCCTATACCTATGTCCTGTTTAGACGTCACATAAGTCAGTTCCACCCAAAACTTCATGACTTCCAAGTCAAAAGGCACTCGCTGGTCATGCTGGATGCAACTAGGAGGAGAGTGGACGGTTCCGCTGACTGTTTCGTTGGATTCACCGCTTGCTATCGCCAGAAATGAGCAAGATTGTAGTCGCATTATGATAGGGGTGGTATCATTATTACGACCAGTAGAAATGGTAGTAGTAGTAGTAGTAGTAGTAGTAGTAGTAGTAGTAGTAGTAGTAGTAGTAGTAGTAGTAGTAGTAGTAGTAGTAGTAGTAGTAGTAGTAGTAACACCTCCCTGCGACCTGAATCCCCTCTGATACCGCGAAATCCTGACCCCTTTGTGCAGATCAGGTGTGCATGGCAAACGTAGTTGTGCCGTTTAGTTTTGCCAGGCACTGTGTCCGGTCTCACCTACGGTCTTCTAGAATTTGTCTTTACAGTAGTCTTAGGTGAGTGGGAGGGGGAGAGTGCGATGGATGCTGCACAAGTCCTTTGTCACTATGAACTAATTCAGGCATAAGTTATCGTCCCTGCGGCTGCCATGCTGCAGGGCAAACAGTGAATATCGTCGTTCGCGGCGGCTAAGCTGTCGGCATTAGGAAGGTTTGGTTAGAGTTTCGCAACTAGATGATAATGGTACTGTCTGGTCTCACTTAACCTAGGCGCGAGACAAAGACATTCCATCGTAACTTTAACTCCAAATTAGGGTCTTTGCAGACGACTGGATAACGAAGACTATCCAGCAGCAGAGGGTGGTTTATTAACGAAGAATGAGCCAGTAGGATTACTTGTTTGTGTTACGTCTCTGAAATATACCAACCCGAAATGTACCATTATTACCACAACTGCTAATAATAGTAGTAATAATGATATTAGCACGACTACGACTAGTGATACTACCGCTGCCGCTTATTCCTTCAGTAGTCATGTCCTTTCACTAGTAACATCGTACAACCGGAGTCGCTAGCTGTATGATCAATGATCCTTGCATAGACGTTCGCCCGTCAGATTCCATCATTCCAACTATCGTCCAACTTTTAAGAAATAACTACTGGAAATTCCACTGGACAGCATGAGCCACCTTATGGCTCCCGAAGCATACAAAATGCAAAGTGGCAGAGACGTACGCCACATAGACGCCCCCCTAGCCAGAAGGCGTCTCTCTCTCCCAGAAGACGTCGGGGGTTACCGTCTCGGAAAAAGCTGTCTTTTGCCCACACCGGCCTCTTGTGCTCTCAAAGCCCAATTAGACAAAAACGAGGACAGGGGTAAAAAAGGCAACCAAATGTGAAACGGCCCTAGCCAGCCTGTCGGGCTAAATACAACCCACCTTCCCCCGACTGTCGCCGCCACCGCCGCCGCGTGTGTGGTGGCTGCGGTAATAATCGTTGCTCACGCCGAGATTTCGCCCTCTACAGTATGCCCACTCCCGCCCCGAAACCGCAAACCACATCACGGGTGCCACTCGTCACCCCTGCGTGTGTCCATGCGTACGCTGGAAAGGCATTCTTCTGCTCTTCCTCTTGACAGATGGGCCCCGATGAGGGGGACACTGGTGGGTGGCATCGTCTTATGGCGAAAAGATCGCGGTACCTCCCATGAGCAAGCCAGAGTCCCCCCCCTGCCAGATATTGCCGAGACCCCGGCACGTGCTTTGCAGAAGCGAGGCTGGGAATGGGACGCAGTGTGAAGGCCTACGAGGCCGGCCCACCTCCGCCGATGGTGTTTTGCTTCTGCAGCAATGGCTTCTACTCGCATCGTCTCGCACCCAATCTCACCCCCCCCCCTCCCCACACTGTCTGCCTGCACGCAGACAAACACAATGACCGAGAACTGACTGTTTAGGATGCGCCGACGGCCGTCGAGCTGGCGACACCTGAATTGGCCGAAAGTGAATTCGCACACCGGGCCGGCGGTTGGGGTGGGGGTGGTGTAGATGTAATCTCAGCGTCCTCCAATCGTCGCATCGAATGAATCTAGTTGGCTTTTAACCTCACCAGTCTCTGCCCCCTATCGGTTTTGGAGATCAGTACGCCTGGAAGTGGTGCTCTTTAGTGCTCAGGCGGCTCAATCGTAGCATCAGATAATGCAGAGGGGCTAATTGGGAGATGACTCAGGCGGGAGGGATGGGGGGGGTATGTTAATGGTGGGGAAGGAGCTATCAATTCCCTACCATACCTACAGTGCTACGCTGACAGTCAGCCAAATTCTGGAGGCAGGCGTGGTCACTAGGGTAATTTCGAAATCGCAGGTCTCTTCATACACGGTTCTTACTAGTCATGGCAATGGACTTTGCCTCTTTTTTCCAAAAGGATCTGTTCGCAAAATAAACCAGGTCGCAGACCAAGGAAACTAATTCCGATATCGGAGATGTTCCAGCCGGCGGAGGGACTACAAAAAAAAATAAGTGGACCGAAAAGTCACAGGCGCAAGTGCCCGATAATTTAGTTGGGAAGAACCAAGTTGATGAAGCATCCTTCGTTTTCATCTACACGACGAAGGAACGCATACAGATACTACCCGTCACCGAGACTTTTCTACATCTTCTTCTTTCTCTGTTTTTTTGCCTAGTCTTCTTCTTCTTCCCCTCTTGTTCCTCTGCTGCTTCTTCCTCCATATCTTTCTTCATTGCGTGATACCCTCGGACACCAATACTGCAACAAAATTTGGACAGGTAATCGTCACGGTCCACAAAGATCTGAGACTCTGTAGACAGTTCGGTATTGGCCCTAGGTGGCTCTGACGACAGCGAGAGACGAACACTTCTCCCCATCATCCTTTTCTTATTCGCGTACCATCTTGGAACCCACACCATCCCTTGACTGTAAATGAAGACTAAGAGTCGTCTTGGTCTCATTACCTCGTCCGCGGTATCGGAACCCAGGAAGACAAATAGTAAAAATTAGTTCATCGTCCGTTGTCCAGGGTTCGCGCAGCCTAACTAGGGACTCAACCTCCCACGCTCGAGAAACCATGCGTTTGCATCTCCTTCGTTCAAAAGTACAGAAAAACAACTGCATGGACGCCCGAAAACTGCGTGGATGTTTTTAAAACCTGGCCGAGTAACATTGTCGTACAACCGGCTGCTAATAACTCTACGTATACGCAATTCCCATTGATCCATTTCTGGCTAATTTGTTACTGCCTGCCAGTCATACCTCAATTTCCGATAGGGAGTGGGCCAGCCCGGTGTCCCTCGCTTCTGTCGACGATACGCCTCAGTTACTGATTGGTCGTCGTTATCAGACCGCAGGGGTCTAGGGTAAAACGCAGCTCCCTTCGTCCTTCCGGCAATCAGGCCAACTTGGTGGAAGCTAATCGGACAGAGAGAGCGTGAACCCATGATTTGAAAGACTGGGAGACTGGAATGAAATTTTCAGGTGTTCTCAGCCTGAGATTTCGGTGCGTCTAGCTGACGATGACAACCAAACAGAAACGAGCATTCAAATCGCCCCCTTTTATCTGAAACGCCCCTGATGCATTTGAGTTCAGTGCAAGCAGCGTGGTCGGTTTGAAGTGTATGCGTACGCACCACACACACTGTAAGCTGACCGAGTAGACGGACGACCGAACCACAGTCATTACAAATATGCCTCTCCCCCTCGCCCTAGGTAGGTTTATTTCAGGTCCTGAAAGCCTAATAACCGCTTGCGTAACAGGAATACTGTTTTCGCTGCATTCCCATACGTTTAAACTTCAGTTTGCCAGCGGGAACTGAGGAGCGGAGAAATCCCAGTCAAGGCTGATGCGACCTCTCCAGAAGTGACAGTTACTTTGTTGCGTATTAATTTTAACGCACTTTACTCTGGCAAAGTGGACATTAGTAGATGTGCTGCAGTCTCATTGCCCTCCTAGTAGCCACACGACTAGGCCCCTACTTCGCTGTACTCTCCAATGTGGGTGAAGGCACCGATCGAAATCTGCAGACCGCATCTGTAGAGGACGGGCTAAGTGAGCCATGCAGGGGTGTAGTTGGGTGCGCTACCTCCAAACTTGATGTCAGTTAGGCATTAGCATCGTGAATTGGGACGGATCTGGCAGCTTTGGTTTTAAAATTTACTTAAGGTCAACATGACAACTTGTAAAAAATCTGTAAAACACTCACTTTTCGCTGTGGTAGCTACAGAAATCATTGAGGAATTCCGCAGACACACAGAAATGAACTGCGACGCTCGAAGTTGATAGCGTAGCCGCAAAAATCGGCGTAATAAGTGTGCGGGTTATTAAATGATAACTGTGTTCGAGTATGGTGAGGGCATTTTTGCGTTTAAAATACGTTGATTATTGCTTAATGTGCAGATGCAACTCCTGCATGCCTACTCGGTTAAACGTGGTAGTAGTATATGCAAATGGTTACATGACAATCGTTGCCGAGTTTCGCATGTTCCCTCCAAAGACGAAATTATATAACGGGAAGACGCAAAGAACGATTTCGCAACCATCGTCTATCCCCGTGTTGCTCTGCCCCTTCGTCATTTCGGTTTTTCCCAAACAATACCTCGGGCTGTAAAAGGCATCACTCAAACATCTTTGTCTAAAGCGGGTGGACTTTTTAAACGAAGTTGAAAAACTTCTTTTCGCTCGCCCATGGGCACTTTTTTGTTTTAAAGGGGCGAAATATGCTTTCCATTCATACATCAAACCATAGTCGCTGTTTCTTGCTAACTGACGACGAAAATTCGGCAGCTAGTATTAGCGCCTGTTCCCGAAAGCAACAGTTAGCTCTCGCCGCCTGCACTTACATCGAAATAACCAATCATTACGAGTGCTGCCGCTTGCTTGAAGTCATGGGGCATGATACCACACCAACTGTATTAATGCTAATCGGGAGTCATGAAAATAAGTACAATGTAAAATTTATACTTTATTCATTGATTCATTAAAACTGGAAAATCATCTAAACTTCCGCTGACCAGCGTTACGGTAGCTAATTTTATCGATATCTGCCGGGAACCTGCAGTTAGTATCTCTATTGCTGTGCTTCACTCCAGAGGAGACTAATTGAAAATATATTGTTTTTCTTCTGAAGTAGCCCATAAGGCAGTTCGACCTGACTTTAAAGCACTAGGCGCACTAGCAAAATACATGCTTTTGGATGCCACGTGGCCTCGGGTAAATATTTACAGGTATTTGAAAAAATTCAAAAAGATGACTCATATTATGCCAAAAAAATCAACTATTCATCATGGGGGGTAAAGTAACTCATGATGACTAAGGAACGACCTCCATTTTCCCCAAACTCCGGTTTTCTCAGCGGCAGTTAAATAAGGAGATGGTGGATTACACAGGGACGGCGTGGGGGACTTCCCATGATTGTGCTTATATCAGAGATTTGTTTACTGTCAGGTGCTATTTCACATTGGAGGACCCACCTCATAGTGACTTGACTAAATAGTTGGAGTTTGCCTAAATATACAGCAAAGTCCTCCGAAGTATCCCTAAAAACTGGGGTGTTAATGAGTCGTGGCCCTCCGAAAATGCATAAAGACGTCAATAAATTAATCCTTATTGCCAAGTCCTCCTGCATCGCGTTTCGTGCGTATTCGTTGGCAATAAATAGGCAAAAACTTCTAAATGAAATCACAAAAACAATGCCCGCCTGCATACACACGCACGCATGAAGGCATCTCACTCACCTGCTTTTGAGTACACGATCAGGAGAATTCGATCAGCAGAATCCGCGGCCGCGGACTGTTAAAGATCCCCCGGCGCTGTTTTTTGAAAGGTGTCGCAGCGATGAGTTCAGTTGTAAATGCGTGCGGTATAAACTGTCCGTGGCGGAGTTATCTGATTGCTGCACTCTAGTCGAAGAAAATCTGATAAGCCCTCGACCCAGCTGAAAAGTCCTCCTTCGGCATTCGCAGTTTCAGGTAACCCTGTTGCAGCTGAACCAGTTATGAAAGGGGGTGTGGTGGGTAGTTGTACGCCACCTGCTTATTCTGCGAGATAAGAGGCCTTCGTCAGATTCTGCTTATCAGCTCAGGTCTCAGTTAATTTTCGATGTCAGGGCGCGGATGCTGTTCCACACGGAGCGAGATAAGGATCTGGACAGGAGTCTCTTCACCTCCTGACCGGACTTCTTTTGTTCTCTTGCAGTTAGTTTTTCTTGTGGCCGCTGACCCAGCTGCGTTTTACGTTCAGGCGGGGAGAGCGCGACAGACAGGGAGAGTGAGAGCGCTCAAGAGAGAAGTCGATGTTCTACTGTGCTACTCTGTGTCCAGGTGGGAATCGCATACCTTCCTCACAATCACCCTGAGCAGGACTCGTTAGAACAAATACTCGCGCGGACATACGCTTGCACTCGCGCCCACGCGAGTCTCTATACCTTTGCGTCGGCGTGCACACACGCACACACACACCGGCGAACGCACGGGCCTGTAAGTCGGGATGCTTACGTCGTTTTCTGATTGGCAGTTGCTGGCTTATCGCAGTAAATATCTCCTTCCCCAAAGCTGGCAGAGAAGAGGGGAGAGGGCGTAGGCAGATTCCGGCGCTGATGTAGCCGAGAGCGTATTTGGTGGGTGGGGCGGGTGGGGGGGAGGGGAAGGGCGTGCAGGGGTTCAAAATACAAAACGCGTGTGCGCGCGCAAAAGGAGGGCACAGCGCCTGCTCACCACCCTATCGGCCAATGCGTAGACAAGATTAGCAGAAAGATCTGCCCGTCCGCGCCAATCTGAGTGAAGGGAAGACCAGTCGGCCTAGCTGACTGGCTGCTGATTGGACAGTCGGGCAATAGGGCCGTGCACGCCCAGAGTGCAAGAACGGCTAACGGTTTTCGACGAGAAGCGCGGCAGCTTTGCCGGTGGCATTAATGATGGGGTCGATGATGAGATGGACTGGACCTGTCCTCCGATTTTTGTCGCCAGGTATCACTGACACAACCGTCCTGCTCGCTGCTGGGGCCAATAATGCTTGTATTTGCTGGAATACGTCTTGCCATACTTGCCGACATTAGGTCGTTCAGCAGAAGCATAGCTGGTAGTTGCTACTCGCGTCTCCGACCTTGGCGTGGTCGCGCAAGATTTACACAATTAGACAAAAAAAGGAAAGTCGGAGACACTTGTATTTACACTCCCATCGCGTCTATCTTGACAGAAGATGCTTCAAGATGAAACTTTCCAGAAAATTCGTTCTCGGCAGAAGAAAGCCACCAATAAAGGTTGTAGCACACATGGTGGACACCAGTAACGACTACCATCATTATGAACTCTACTGCTGCGATTGGTGCACTACAATGGACACCCGAATCCCCAACGAAATAAACCGATTATGAAGTATTTGAGCTGACCAATGAGGGGATTGTATTTTATCCTTCTGTGCCATGTTTAGCTTTCTATGATTTTCCATCATGTTCTCTCATACCGAGCCTCCGAGAGCGACAGAAATTGCTTGTCTATATTAACTGCCAAGGATACACCATTTTGCATCGATTCTAACGAACTTCAGTATGTGACTGTTAAGTTGCTTTCTGTCAGATATCACAAAATACTAGATATATTGAACGCAACTAAGATGGCAAAATATACAGAATTTAATGATCTTTTAAATTCAGTGACCTATTTTTCAGTTGCGAACAACTACTACATGTTCAGTAGCGGCTCCATAAGAAAACAGTCTACGACAATCAAGTAATGTA